GTCTGAATACTTTCCGTACCCACTGTATATATATATATATATATATATATATATATTACAAATACAATACAATACAAATTTTGTATTGCTTTGGCTGTGTTTACTTTATCAAAATATGAAATATTTTTGAGATTATTTTACTGATGATTTTGCTGATTATTTTATTAAAGGCTACATGTTCTGCTATCCTAGCAATAAAAGGCACATGATGGATGTTGATTTTTATTTATTGACACAGTGTGTGTTTGGCTTATCTAATCACAATAACTGTCCATCTCTAGTGCTAGATTGCCCCATGACCCTACAGAGCTCCCGAAGTCTGGACACCCTCTCTGACCTCAAACTGCAGCGTCTGGAGGCGGAGCTAGAGGGTGCACGGCACGAGGCTCAGGTGGCATGTCAGAGGGAGGAGGAGCTAAAAGCTGAATGTGAGAGGTTAAGGGAAGAGCTGAGAGAACTGCAAAGCAACCAGAGGCAGAGGGTCAGTAACACAAACACACACATGCTTAAAGACTCAAATAAGAACTACACTGTCAAAATTGATTTTTGTCAGGTCTCTTAGACTTTGATTCTCAGAGACTTCTATTCTCAGACTTAGAAAAAACAGAGTGTGGTAAGTAATAAACCAATCAAAAATATTCCCACTTTGATGGCATAGTAACTGAATTTTGCCTTTGCATCCTTTGACGTGACCTTTCATGCCTTTTCAGGCTTCAGATTTAAGATTAAGGCATATACGATTTAAAAGTCAGGCATACACAATTTAAAAAGTGGTCAGTAAAAGTAAGTAAGTAAACAGAGATGGGAAGTAACGAAGTACAAATACTTGTATCAGTACTTTACTTTACTATTTATTTTTCAGACAACTTTTTACATTCACTCCTTACATTTTCTACACTAAAATCTGTACTTTTCTACTTACATTTTCAAACCAGGCTGGTTATTTTGGTGGCATGATCAAAAATATTTCTCGTCATTGCGTGCCTTTTTCAACCTAATGTAAAACAGAAAACACGACCCCATTGGTCTATTATTTCCTGGTTATCACACACCACAGACATAGGCTAGTCTATGAAGCTACCAGGGAGCAAGAAGAATGGCTAACATTACAGATGAGACAGAGGGATTTAGCGTTGTCGACATGACTGAGAAATTAGAGACATTCCCAAGGCTAATAAATTTACCACAGTTGCATGCATGCGATACAGTTTTGTGATGTATGGGAGCCTGTTTACAAACCTGTTGTCAAACAAAGAGAATATTTAATGACATGTTTTAGTCTAAATTCACTTAACATCAGTGGAGTGTTTGAAATAACTTGTAATCTGACATGGTTTCATCAGTGGTGTATAAAGTACCTGAAAGCCATACTCAAGTAAAAGTACAGATATCTTACCAGAAAATGACTTTGGTAGACGTTGAAGTCACCGTTTAGAATATTACTTGAGTAAAAGTCTTAAAGTATGTGATATTTATTGTACTTAAGTACGAAAAGTATTTTTTTTATCTTAAACTTACTTAAGTATTGAAAGTAAACGTATAAGTAAATGCAAAATGGAAAAGAAGCAAATAAATATATATAAAAATGTTCATACACAGCTTGAGTAGCAAGAGTGTGTTCAGTTTTAACTCTTTCTTCCATTTTGTATTTTTGGGTAAGAATAAGAAGCACTTCATCCGGTACTTAGTGTCTTTCATTCCAACATAAGAAAGCATTTCTGGAATCTGCATCTGAAATAGCATTTAGATGTATTTACACAGTTTATGTA